ATAAATGAAAATACCAAAAAACGAGAATAAAATTCGAAAAATAACTATGCCACTAAATACTTTAAAATTACTTAGTTGATTAGTTTTTTCGTAGAAATTACCCAAATAAATTTCGAATACTCCTACCTTCTCAAAGAGAACTAGCTCCCGCTCCAAGTAATGAAGTGCCACTTATAGCCGCTCCTTTGATTTTCATTTTTTTTAGAAAGTACACGAAACAAAATCATATTTTTTTATCAAAAAAGTTTTATTTATATTAAATGATATAATAAAATATTTATAATCTTTTATTAGTTTTTAAAAGTTTAACAGTTTTCTAAATTTGAATCCAACAAACATCCACGCTTCTCCCCTAAAACCTGTTTAGCTATACTAAACAGGCGCTCAACATGAGCACTAGAGGGAAGCGGGGTATTGTATTTTATAAAAATATTTTTAATACAGGAAATTTATTAAAAATTAGTAATATTGATATCATCATTTGAAAAAATATTTTTCCAATATATTATCTTCCTGATGACATTTTCATCGAACAAAAAATTTTTCAAATCATTGCAGGATCGTGAACTAGTAGCTATTTTTGTATCAGGAATTTGTTTTCTTAGAAAATTAATTAATTTGTATTTTAATACCATATTTTGTGCTTTTTTTTATCCATTCCTAATTTGATTTTATCGCAGATGGATAATAGCCGCAATGATATTTACACCATTATAAATATTTGAAAATTTGCAATAAAGTTATTTAAATAGATAATTTATTTCGATTTCATGATGTCTGGATCCATAATATAAATAACTATTTTTTATCATATCTATAAATGAATATTAATAGAAAAACTTGATGTTTAATATTTTAACTGATTAGATGAAAAACCAATATAAAACTCAGTTCAACTTTAATATTGCATAAATTTAAAAAATTTCATTTTTATTGAATTTTAATAACATAAGATTTATTAATATTTAAAAAAAAATTTACCAGCCCTAAAAGGAGCTAGTTCCCGTTCCGGCTCCTGATTTTTAAAATGTTGGGTGCTCCTGGTGTTTTTGAAAAAGTGTTGCGGCGCGCTCCTGTAGCGGCGCTTCTTATCAACTCTGAAATTTCTATTATTTTTTTTAAAAAAATATTTCTTGTAAATGACGAAAAATGATTTAGAACACACTATTTTAAAAAATAGCGTATGTTATTTTTTTCTTCAAAATTTATTTATATTTTTAGATTTTGGCCATAGCCTAAAGTAGAATTTGGGAAAAATTATTAAAAGTTAATAACTTTTTAACTATAATTCAAAATTTTAGAAAAAAATAAGTGAAAATCCTAATTAGTTTTAGATAAAATCGAATATAACCAAAGGCCTACAATAAGTGGACCTAAAGACCTTCAATAAAATTTTTGCGGAAAACCCCTCCTAACAGTGTTCCCCACCTGTAAGAAAATACTGGGTACTCCTATGGTACCTTTTAAAATTTTAAACAAAAGAGTATCCCAGAGCGCCATGAATTCTCACCTAATTTAAGTAGTGTTGTTAAACGGCTCATTTTGAGCCGATTTTTAAAACGGCTAAATCCATATTTTAGCTAGAAAAATATTACCTAAACCTCGAAATTTCGCTAATTGATGTCTAGACCTTTGTGCCATCTATGAGCAAAATCTTCAGACTTGCGTAATATTATTTTGGATAAAATATTGAGTTAGCCGTTTTTAAAAATCGGCTCAAATCGAGCCGTTTAACAACACTAAATTTAAGTTGTAGATTTAGAAACATTCATTAATATCCTTTCGTTTCTTTGAAAATCTTTATTTTTTTAAATTTATATAATTTAGTTCCTTTGTAATATATATCTTAATGTTAATAATAATTTTTTAATATTAAAAGTTTTTTTATCACCCAATAAAAGTAACTATTTATTAGCAAAATAGAATATTTGGTAATTAAAAATAACTCATATTATAGATGGAAAGAATAATCCATCCCGCCATAATGGAACCTCAACAATAATATTTGAAGCCCATAATTTTTGATCCAAACCGAAATTGGTATTAAATTGAACGCATGCTTAATTTTTAATAAATGTCTATCGTTAAACTAGTCCCGACCGAATGCTCATCTTCCAATAAGCAGGATTTACTATTCCCCTTAAAAAAAATAATATAGTTTTGAAACAAATAACTGGCGTTATATGGCAGAAAAATATAAAGAAATAATTCATTTACAGATTATTTAAAAGAGATATTAATTTTCTCTCTTCAGTTTAGTGTTATTAAACGGCTCGTTTTGATCCGATTTAAAAACGGCTAACTCAAAATTTCATTCAGAAAAATATTACGCAAGCCTGAAGATTTTGCTCATAGAAGGAAAGGTCTAGACATATATTATCGAATTCTCGAGGCTTAGATAATATTTTTCTGGCTATTGAATTAACCGTTTTAAAAAATCGGCTCAAAATGAGCCGTTTGATAACACTACTTCAGTCGAAAAACAAATACATTTAAGAATTATATTTTTTGTAGAGACCTTCAGGCCCGGTCCTAAGCCCGGCTCAGGTACACGGGCCGGGCAATTTTTTAAATATACCTGAGCCGGGTCGAAAATTTTTTTTAAAAAAAAACCTAGGCAGGCCGTGCAAATAGTACCTACAGGTCTCTCATTATTTGAATAATATTTTTACCCTATATAATATTTCATATTATTTTATATTAATATTGATTGCTTATCTATATTATATACTAAAAACAAATTTATAAAAGGGTTCATTAGCTAAAATGATCCATATTCTTTGCGAGTTATTTAATTTAAATAGCAGTAAGATTTTTTAGTATTTAATTAAAATTTTTGGAAAGTTTTATATGATCTAAAGAACTCGTCTATAAGATAAATAATATTTATCAAGAAAGTAATAGAAGACAAGATGATAAACATTTTGCTCTCGGCAGAATTTATGTATTTATATGTGGGTTAAGCAAAGTGATTATATAATTGGATAGCCTCATCATTGACTACGAACAAATCCAAAATTCGAGCTAATTATTTTATTTAGTTTAAGCGCTATTTGAGAGTTAGTAAAAGTTTTGTTGTCTATGACCTGAGTTAAAACAACAAATGAGGTTAAATGCCGAAAATTTCCAGTGTTTGAACATGAAAATTTTTTATTTTATTGTAATCATTACAAAAAAACTAGCGCACAACTAGAATTGCACCCCCTTTTTAATAATCTTTAGTACTTCTTTAAAATATTAGATCTGCTTAAACCAAAAAATTGATTGCATTTAAATTGTATTAAAATATGTAATTCTAAATATATGCTTAACATTAACATAATAGCAATAACCTTTAAAAAAATACTAAAAATATGTTCCTCTTTATTTCATTTAAATCAGTGTCGCTAGCACTTTAAAATTTCAAAATTAACAAGAAAAGAAGAGGGTAATAATTGTGTCCAAAAATGAGCAAAGATAGAAAATTATACTTAAAATTAGCCAAAAATAAATAATTTTAATATATGCAAAAATAAATCTGGGGAGCCCATGTGTGCCCCTCCCCAATTTATTTACGACGCTACTGGTTTAGATGTTAGTTTATGATAATGTATTTATTAATATACGGAATTAGGCCTGGCAGGTTATTTAGGGGTAGGAATAAGTTTGTGGTTTTTATAGTAGTGCAACGTTACTTCTAAAAATAAAGGCGTTACTCGTTACGTCTGAAAAGAGAAACGCATTACCGTTATTCGTTACCTTGTGAAAAGAGGAACGCACGTTACTGGCTATTCAAAATAAAACGGGTTACTCGTTACTTTAAAAAAATTAAATATTATATACAAAAAAACAATTATCTATATATATATATAGTATAAAAAAGTTATGCAAAAAATAATATATAATAAGATATCTGTTTGTAATAGTTTTTTTTATATATAATTTATGAATAAATTAATACAAAAATAGGTAAGTCACTGAAACTAGGGTAAATTTTTAATATTATTTTTTTTTATTAAAAATAAAATAAATGCGATCATGTGTATATCGGTGGAAATTTTTTGATGTAATAATAATTCATATTTTTTTCCCCCTTTTTATGGTTTACATAAATTTTACCGAGATCATAATTTCATATACAAGAATCATGTCTTTTTTAAAAGATCATGAGCTTCTTATTAATCACACGTATTGTTTTAATAGACTCAAAATGGAGAAAAATGCAGCATCTTTAATTTTTAAATTTTATTTATTAATTAGGCACTATATTTAAAAATATTAATCTTCCAGTGAACAAATTATTCATCTATATCTTTTTATGTCCAGGACCAGGACTTCTATAAGTAGCATTGTTTAATTGGGTTGGGACAAAGTACTATTGGAAAATGGTAAAATATATCTATAAAATTTATCAATAAGTTTTTTTGTGTATACAATATTTAGAAAAATTTGCTGAAACAGTCATTATCTTTTGAAAAATAGGAGGTTTTCGATATTTTTTTAAGAAAAAATTGTAGTAACGTTTTGCGTTACCGTTTGTTCGTTACCTCTAGAAGAAATTAACGAATGGCATTCCTTTACTTCTAAAAAGGTAACGCCATTAGTAACGACGTTACTTTTTTGACATTACTTTACAGCACTAGTTTATAATAATCTTTTTGCTTAATTTCACCGCAACTTGATACAGGAGTTAGTTTACAATATTTTAAAAAAGGGTTAAATTTAACATTTACCCATTTTTGTTAAATTTAAAAAAAAAATTATTTGGGAAATTTTTATCGTGGAATTTTTTTTCTTATTTTGTTAATTTACTCAAATTTTTTAGGGTTTTATTTTCTGAAGCAAGTCTCTGTTTTAAAACAAATTTGAACGAGGAATCATTGCATCTAAAAGGCTAAAAAAAAACTACGTTAGAGAATCTAAATGTTTAATTTTTATATTAGTTTTCATATAAAATTCAAAATCAAAGAAAAATTTCTTATCTATTTTACATCCCTTTTTTAAAATCAAAACTTTCGAAGCTAGAACCATAGTTGCCATCGATATCAATTATTTTTCTCCTATCTCGGGTGTCGTATGTATGCCATTCCAAGATATCAATGATCCTTTCTTAATACCTAAAATATTCAAAAATATTGCGAAACAACATCCTTCTTCGGCTAAGGCAATCAATTATGTTTGTGATAGCGACGAGAATCATTCAACAATATTCGATATTATCTTGAGCGACATGGCACCTAATGCTTCGGGTATAAACATTATTCCCTCTTTCATTATTATATTGTATCTCCAATTAAACAATGCAGATGAACCTTGGAATTTTACTATGATTGATAGATAAGAGATTGGTTGAAGATATAAAATTATCCACTTTCCATTTCACATCAGTTTCATTGTTCGAATTTGAAATATATTTTGAGGTTAAAACATAGGATAAGAAATGTGTGTGTGAAAGTATTATAATAATGTTGATTTTCAAGATGGTGGGTTATAAAAACAACCATGTAATAAAAACTAATTTAATTTAGATATAATTAATCTTTTTTTATTTTGTCAAATAACCAAACATAAATGATTAGATTTTTATTGATTTGTGTAATATTTTAATATTAACAATTGATTTATCCTCAGAAAAAAAGGGTTTATTAAACCATATTTATCATAATATAATTTAAAAACTAGCTTCTATCGGAAAAAGGGAGGAAAGAGAGAGAGAGTTTTAAGATGTTAATGTTAAACAATTGCCACAAAACTAATAATCAAGATTATTTTAAATTAAAGGTATAACGAATATTTTAAATTTGGCTAATGTATCAGAACACCCAATTTGGAAATAAGAGTAGTTAAAATTAAAAATAATAAAACCACCATTATTTTATTAATCAAATAAATAAAATTTTCAATTTCGTTTAAAAGTTTTATTTCGATATTTATAATAGAATTCATTTTAGTAAATGAATGATTTTCTTTTTGACTCACTGATATCGACAAGTTAATTTTTTTTAAACAGTTTGCTCATACCATTGACAGTCGATTTTTCATTTGGCAAAATATCAAATTAGCTCATGTTATCAATATATATTTTTTCAATAATCCTGACCGAACCTGAAGCATTAACTTTTTACTTAACAAAGAAATATTATGCTAAGGTAAAAAAATTTTTATTATGTATGATATTTTTCAATTGAATTAGTATTTGGTTCAAATCGCGATTTAAATATTAAAAAAATCACAAATTTTGTCAACCCTAATAAAAAGACTGATAGAATCAAAATTTGCTCAAGTAACGCTCTTCCACATCGTCAATTCAATCATTTTGCCAAATTTGTTGAGGAAAAAATGTTATATCCAATACATTTTATTTTAAAAAATGTAAAAAACATTTATGATTTTGGTCTGATGACCTTAAATTTTTTTCTATTATAATAAATCCTAGTTAACCTTTATCTTTCTATATTTGAATTTTAAACAAAATATCTCTCGCAGTAGAGTTTTTCTTTATTGTCAGAGAAATTGGCTAACAGTGATGGTAGGATACTTAGCTTGACAGATTTAATGATAATTTTTTTTTAGATCATGAGTTAAATCAATTGTTTTTTTGCTTAATTTTCATTAATTGTTAATTTTTTTTATTTTGTTAAAATTATTATTTTTATTATAAGAGTAAGCTCCCACAAGAATGATTTAAATATCGTAAATTTTAATGGTATTTCTTACAATGAATGAAAAAGGTATCAATATGAAACAATAATTTAAATGCCCTATATCCAGGGATATAGTAGGCTGGGGGAGAACACAGAGTGCCCTTGCCGATTTAAAAAATTTTAGCGTGCCCCTACCAGAAATTCTCAAAAGTAGGGGCACGATGTACCCCTTCTAAAAAAATTTGAATTTTTTATAATGATATTTTAGCCTATCATTAATATTTTTTATCAAGATAAACATAAAATATTTCATAAACAAAATGATAGCATATTAATGTAATTGTACATTTTAATTTAAAAACGAACCCTTCTCTATTTTAATTGGTTCATGAAAAAGAATACCCAAAAGAAATAGGGGAATTTGACCACCATGTACTTTTTGATAATAATTGAAAAGTATACAAGGATTTTTATAATCAGAGCATACATTAAACTGGTTATGCACGTTGATAAAAAGATGATATTGAATAATGCATATTATCTTCGCCCATTGTAGATTTTAAATCGTTAATAGATTTATAAGAGCACAACAGATTTATGGGACATATTTTGCATTATGGATATTCTGCCTGTTAATAATTCATTGCCAAGGAAATACAAATATAAATTGTAAATAATACTACAATTTAAAATCGAGAATTACCATCCTGGAAGATGAATCTACTACATTGTCAAATACCGACCTTAGTTATTTATGTAAAATCGGTACTGGTGTCTCTTATAATAATTTATTTTAAAATTTCTAGACCTAATTGAACAGGACTATAGTCATACCTTGACTTTAGGCAAGAACGGTCAGTTTACCTAACGCTAAGAACTTCGTGTTGTAAAGTCATTTAAGGATATGCTTGATAGGTTTTAAATCTCTTTTACTATTTATAAATGAATGTTTATTTAATGATTCATCACTTGAAAATTGTGTTATTTTATGTACACTTTTTTGGAAAAATGACTTTTTTACATAAATCAATTTTTTTATAACCATAATATTTAAAAATAAAGAACTTAATTTTAAAAATTGCTCTTCTGTTAAATTACAAAAAATGGAGAAATAATAATTTTCAGTCGACTATTTCTAAAGAAAATGAGAATATCTCAAGAAGCTATAAGAAAATAAGGAACTTTGGTATCAGTATAAATCAATCCATTACTGCCTTAATAGACAATATAAAAAATAGGTTAATACATGCTAATTTCGATAATTTTAGTAATTAAAGATACTATATTAAATAATACAGTTTTGTATTATTTGATATCGAATAATTTACAAAAAGAACACTGGCTAGACTCACATTCGTTATGGGGACATTTAAACTAATTCTGACCATAGTTCGATGTGGATCCTGCAATAAAATGGGATGAGAAATATATTGATGATAATAAAAGTAATAAATTCCCCTGTGATTAGAAAGTCTCATAATTGTATTAACATAAATCCGTGTATTACTGCTGACAGTGGGTGCTGCTTTCTTATGAATATCATTATGACGGATTTTGCAAATCTTATGATAAAACATTTGTTTAATGATGATTAATATTAACGGACCTTGAATTCTTCTCCATATAATAAGCTTACAAGTCACAGATTTGCAAACGATAACCAAACAAGCAACCGTTCAGTTAATATTATTATTAAAAATATTGAAAGTGATTCGCTATGGCGAATATTATAGTCTATTTTCTATGTATTTTGTTATAATATAATTATTTTTATATAATTATGAAATGCATGCAATCTAAAATATTATGTAATTTATTTATCCAATATATATCTCTATTTTTATATAAATAGCTATTTTATATAATATAAAATAAAATAAATATAGCAGGACTCAGGTACACGAGCTAGGTCGTATTTCCATTTTTTAAAATATACCCGGACAGGACCGGATATTTTTAAACCAAATATTTTAAATAGTCATTATTAGCTATAAAAATTAAAAATATATTTTTAAAAAACCCAAGCCGGATCTGAAAATATAAAACGCGGGCCGGTCCGAAATTTTTTTTAAAAAAATGTCAGGGTCGGGCCGTTCAAATGGTTTCTGCCGGTCTCTGATATATATAATGAACTTTTAAAAAAGTAAATAAATTTTTTAAAAAAAGTTTGTCTAAAATTTATGGAAAACAAAAATTAGCCTTTATTTTTTGCCTATTTTATCGTGGCCACTTGAGCGAGCCCCCACCGAAATTTTAGGACTACATCACTTCCTTTATCACCTGTAAATTTTAAAATCAACAAGATCTTCCAAAAATTTTGTTTTGCTTGCTAAACTATCATTTTTCTCCTCAAAAGTAAAGTAAGGGTATATATAATTAAATGAATGAACGTTTGATAAACTAATTTTCCTAGAGTTTGTGACCCACACCAGATCTTAATTTTAAATGATTTTTTACATATATTTAAAAATTTTATTAAGAATTTGATTTAAATAAAATACGCGATAAAATCATTATTTTTCCCAACCAGCTACATGAATTCGTTTTCTTAGTTTAAATCGAGAACTCGAGTTTGCAGGAGTTTGTTATATATATATAATATACATTTACATATTTAATCATTTTTTGTTTGTTTATGTGATTTACTTGGTAAAGAAAATATTAAGATAAAATACATGGGGGAAAATATAGTAAAAAGTAAAGATATTATTGAGTATAACTATAATTCTCTTTTTTTTGTTAGGGATAAAATCTTTAGATCACGATGTTATTACCGCCCTTTGCCTAAAAGCGTTTTTATTATGTCCCCAAATTTTAAAACCCGGTGGAGCTTTCGTTTGCAAAGTACTGAAAAACAATATTTGTTTTTTTAAAAAAAATATCTTTCGATATGTTTTTTTTCTTTTAAAGGTGGGTTATACATCGTTTATAGTAAACGCGTTTCGCTGGGTATTTTTCAAAAGCAAGCAAATAGGCAAAATTTATGACTGCGCGATGCGATAAAATGTATTATATCGCGATAGTTTATAAATTTTATCTATTATTTACTTGCTTTTGAAAAATGCCCAGCGATGCGTATCACATCTTAGCGACACCCACTTACTATAAATATATTTAAAAAAAATTAAAATCTTATCCGAGTTTTTTGTTTTGTTTTTCTCAATAAATTTACATAATATTCTGTGAGGGCTTAAATATATATTGTAATGTTTTCGCGCTTATAAAAGTTTTTTTGCGTTCCTTCGTAAAATATAGGGCTTTAAAAAATAATATTTTAAAAAATTGATTATATTAATTTCTTCATACAGAAACGTATACTAAATGTACTTTTACTAATTTTTTGATTTTGATTAATATATTCTCTCTTCATTTTCTCCGTAATTGTGTTAAGAATAAGATTATACTGCCGCTGGAAATGTATTCCCGCATGTCTAGAGTACCTACATTTTGAATATCAGAAAGTTTTGTAGTGTTATTATGAACCAATCTTAATTTATATTTAATAGAGAGATTTTTAATATAAATTTTAAAAAGTGCTCTACACAAGCTGCTAGAATACATTTCCTATCAAATCATTATTTTAAATTTAATAATCACCATCAGCAAAAGAAATTGTGAGATTTCGTCAATATACCACATAAATATTATATATAACAGTTTTATTTTAAATGTTCTCCTGGTACATTAAATAATGATTTTTATATTTCCCCCAAATTAAATTGTTACTCAGATATGGGATGGATGCAACGCTAAAGAATTAGTTACCAAATTAGGTCAAAGTTTCGAAATTGTCAAAAAGTTTAAACCTGCTTGTTCGAGAGATGAATCATCGGAAACATTTTTAGTTTGCAAATCATTCAAACCTAATAAATAATGAATGGAACCATTTTCAATGATGCAATTTATATTTTACATGTGATATTTATTATAAATTATATTATGTAATTATAAAAATTTTGAAATCGTCTTCCATTTTCCTAAATTCATAAAAATATAATATGATTTTACCTGCGAATTATATAATATAACATAATTTTGCAATTTTATATATGAAAGGCCTTTATTTGAATGTTACACTCTTGTCTTAATTAGTCTGACAAGCAAAATAACTAAAAGTTTAAAAAATTATTACGGGATTTAAAATCTCTTATGGATTTGTCGAGATCTGCCTACCCGGTCAGTCCGAAATCCCTCGGGCCTCGTAAATTTGAAATATATATCAGGCTGGGCAAAAAATTTCAGAAGTCGGACAATTTGTACATAAAAATTCGGGCTGAGCTTCGCAGTCTCGGATTTTTTTTTGATTAATATTGTTACAAATAACAAGAAGTTTCTCTTACCTAATTAAATTGAATTTATAAATAAAATAAAAGCGTAATTAGTTTTAACCTTTGCTGGCGTCACATGTCAAAATTTATTTCCTAAGTTAAGAAAAAATAATTTTTAATGTTTTATATAGTTTTTATAATGTTAATTCGCTCCACTTATGTGCAGGGTTTTCAAATCGTTTAGCGGTTCGATTGATTTGATTTTTAATTTAAAATTTTATAAAAGTTTTTTTTTCATTTCGGTTTTTTCAAAGATATTTTATATCGGTTTAAAATTTATAAATGTTCTTTTTGGTTCGTTCTGGTTTTATAAATTTGATTTTAAAAAAAATTAATCATTAATTTTAGTAAAAAATCTTCTTAATTTTTATTTTTTGATTGATATGAAGATAATAGCTATTTAATTGTATAGAAAAATTTAATTTGAAAAGTAATCACAATTTATATTTCCCAAGGAAAATTAAATTCGGGTCGAGCCAGAATATTAGTAATAGATTTATTCGGTCCGGATGGGTCGAACAAACATTTAAATGACTAGTCGGGCAATTTGTGCTATACTTGCTATTTTTATATTAATTAATTTTACATGTAGACAACAATTACATAAATATATAAATCAAAATGATTTTAAAATAATACTTAATAAAACAAGGTTGGGTTCAATTAAATTGCCGATAGTGCAGCTCGAATTATAATAATTGATAATTTTTTAAATATGCTTTAAATAACTGATTCCGTTTTGTTTATAAGCTGGATATGAATGCAGCCGACTACTTTTTTTTAAATCAATTTTTGCCGGCTGAAATGGTCGCTTGACACGGAGATTAACCAAGCATGAATAAGACATAACTTCCACAAACCTTTATAATTAATCGTCCCCAGATCATCATAGACGTAGGGTGTGATCTTTTTCTTTAGGCACGCACGATGAAACACCTCTTATCTATTTGTAACCATTTAAGACTTTCTCAATGGACAATCAAAATCATAATTAATAGCCCCAAATAACATTCTTCAATCTTTCTAATATCATACATCTTAAATTCTGTAAGCATTGAAAGTTATCATTACAATAATTTTAAAGGAGTTCAATTTTAATCTACTTTAAAGAATCAAACCCAAAATTATGTCAACAGTTGACTTTAAAAGAGTAACTTAGTACGATTTTTTATATTCAAGAAAAATAATTAAATCCTTAGGCTGTGTACAGGCGTCTTTTATGTATAGACAAAAATAAAATAGCAATACCACCAAATATTCATAATAAACCAAAATAGGGTGTCAATGTTTTTAGCCTGTACTAGAAATTTAGGTTTGACTATCTCATAAAAACACGATAGATAAACAGCTTCTGAATTAGGACATCCTATTTTGTTTTGTTAGTATTTGGCATTCGGACCGGAGACATTCTTATTTTTCGTATTTATTTTCTTGTTTTATTAATTTCTTTTTTTAAATTTTTTTTTGTTTTATGTCGAACCAGGACACAGGTCGTCATAATACTTAACCAGCTATTTAGCCGTTTTTTAAGTATCGGGTAAATAACCAAAATAGCAAAAGAAAATTTTTTTTAAAAAAAATCAGAAATAAAATACGAAAAATAACAATACCAAATACTTAAAATAAACCAAGATAGGGTGTTCTTGATCAAATACTTTTTAGCCTATACTAAAAAGTAATTAAGTACCCAAATTAGGCCACATGGGGCACGGTCTTAAAGTTTATTTCAGATTAATTATTTTAGAAATAAGAACCAATTATTTATTTTACCTTCCAGTAGGCCGTCAAAGGATATTTAGACACTCAACTTTATGATAGGAATCGATAATAAATTATTATTTTAAGGGTTACGGGGCCAAAATTTTCCTTTATCGTTATTTAAATAAAAATTATATAGGTTAAGTTACCACCGTAGGAATAACGGAAAAATGCGTTGAATAATTTTATTGATTCATATTTCTATTAATTCGAAAATAAAAAATGTTTTCAATTTAACCATTTAATAAATGGATTAATTTTACAAATAAAACATAATTTACAACATCTCCTGTTTTATCTATTAAAGCAAATTTTCTATCTCAATAAATCTACTTGAACTATAATTTCTCTAATGTTTATATTCGGAATTCTGTGTTTACTTTTTTTTCTTTTCTAGCTCGAGTTCTCATTATCAGCATGCTCCCATGTTAACCTATATGGTTCGATCTCTTGCCAGTATGATCTATTTTTCATCATAACCGTACCAACTTTATCCCGGTTTCTCTACAATATATTTTTAGCCACACTAAAAAAATTCCACTGATGTATTGGAAAATAGCGCTGCGCTATAATTTATTAATAGCAAATTTATATTGTATTAGGAAAATCTACAAATATAGTAGAATCTCTATTTTCCTATAGGGGAAAAGCAATATTAAATCCTCCATAAATTTTATTGGAGGTCTTTAGGTCCACTTATTGTCAAATTATTTATGTGATGGGGCGGGGGAGGGGGGGGGGAGATAGTGGAAAAGAATTTTTTATTAGTTTAAAATAATATTTAAGGAAAAGGTAGAATTCCGGTGGTGTGGAAAATTTCTGATTTTTCCCACCCTTTGATTAGGCCTATGCATAACATTCTTTTTTTTAAATCATTCAAAAATTTGATGTAAAATAAAATCATATATTAAATTTTTAAATTTTTTTCTGGTATTTTTTTCATTTAAAATAAAATTTCTGTTTGTTTTAAATTTTAATTCTGAATAAATAAAATCGAAGTTAATTTAAATAAATTTAATACAAAAAGTGGCATTAAGTATTTTTGTAATAAAAATGTATCGAATAATAGATACAGCTAAACATATATTAAGATAAAGATATACTATATTTAGATAGAGTACAGATACAACATTTATGAAACTAAATACTATAACAATCCTGGTGTGATGATAGTTTAGTTTAATTTCGAATCAAAGACATATAAATCTTGCTCAGAAATTATTTTAGTATTTTAATAAAATTCAAGGATATTACAACTTGCGTTTATAATAAATTATTATATTATAGCCTAATAATTATATTTTATTTTTAGGATTACAGTGATTCATAATTTGGAAATTGTATCCATTCAATAGTTTGTTTTTAAATATAAATTTTTATAGTATTTTTATTGGATTACTAAGCCATGCAAAATTTAAAACTACGCAAAAAATAATTCCTAATTATTAGTGATGTTAAGGTAACTAGTTACGTATTACATTTTGGCTAAAAAATAACTGTAACTAGTTATATTTTTAAAATTGTAACTAGTTATAATTCTTGAAATGTAACTACCAAAAGTAACTAGTTACTTTTAAAGATATATTCAAATAATTAATTTTATTTATAATATGTTGTGATAAATTAATTTTGAATTAAATTTATTTTTTAAATTAAATTTATTAATTTAAAATTTTGTGAAAATGTCTGATTGTTATACTTTCCCGTTCAAATTGATTTTCTTTTCTTAAATTGTTACATTGCTGCTGGGCTTCATAATTTTGTAAGCAAATTCAAGTAATTTAATAAATTTAAATATTATATTTATTTACAAATGTAGCACAATATATTTTTTTCCGTCAAGTAATAAGCATTGGAACTTCATATCATACGTAATAAAAAAAAATTTAAATTTAGTATAAGGAAAAACAAAGACAGATTATTATAGAATTTAATATTAAATTATCAATCATTACTTACAAGAACCAAGTCTAACAAAAGCATAAGCACATTATTCAAATTTTAAAAAATGATTGCTTTCTGAAATTTATTTTTGGTCTAGCCTGAATTTTTATTTATAATCAAATTATATATAAATTAAACACATTTTAGAGCTGTATGTTACTCATTAATTGATTATTCTATTCCTAATTTAGATAGTGTTATTTATATTTATCTCCTAGATAGAAACAGAATACAATATGAATTCTGAGTCAGATGATGAAGAAATTATACCTTCTCCTTCAACAATAATTGCAAAAAAAGGACCTTCCTTGGCCAAGTTTTGAAAAATATTTTGAATTCCACAAAGAGAAGGCTGGTAGTAATACTAATATTATTGTCAAATGTCTCTTATGCCTACCATATAAAATTATATTGCAGCATCTAAGTCATCCACAGCTAATTTATGGAAACATATCTCTGTAAGTTTACATAAATTGTATTAATATTATATAGAATAATTAAATGAATTAACTTTATAAGAATAATTAATATTAATTAAATATTTATATATATAAAACATATATCTATAGAGAAAGCATCCTAACCAATCCGTAAATATAAAACAAACCATAGATAATAAGAAAATTAATTCAGCCATATCAAGTAAGTTTAAACAAACTAAACTTGACTTTGGTGGAAAATCAAATTTTAAAGGTATCAGCAAAGATAAATTTGATTCACAAATTATTAAATATATAATAAATGGAAATCACCCATATACAACCTGTGATGATGAAGATTTTGTTGAGCTGATAAACACCCTGCAACCTAATATGAAGATTATATGCAGACAAACCTTAACCTTAAGAATATCAAAATATTTTGTTCAAATGAAGGATATTCTAATAGAAAAATTGTTAGAGCCTAATTATGTTTGTACAACAGCTGACTGCTGGACAGCATTTAATCGGTAAATATTATTTTTTACTAAAGTGTACAATACACTTGGTTATCTTTTGTTATATTAATAATAGCTCCTATATTGGTATAACAGTACATTGGATTGATGTGGAGAAATTGGAAAGGCGTTCAGCTATTCTAGCCTGCCAAAGACTACAAGGTAGGCATACATATGATGTGATCAGCAAAGCTTTAACTGCTGTTTTTAAGGAGTTCCATATCCAAAATAAAAATATCTGTACAATAACGGATAATGCAAGCAACTTTTCAAAGGCGTTTAGGCATGCCTAACTA